GTAATGGCGGCTTCATAAAGCAAAAGACGCAAGTATGAACCTACTACTAACTCAGACAACTGACCGGAAATTCCGCAAAACGCTTGGCAAAGATCCGCCGGGTCATCTGCGGAATTTCCGTATTGGTACTGGCAGGAAGTGCTGCGGAACCACTGGCTATTTTTGGAAATTCCGCAGCGTTTTGTAAAAGGTCGCGCGGAAAATCCCGTTTCCAACCAATCTGACGTGAAAATCTCGCGAAAGTTCCCAATTGCAACGTTTCCACTTTTGCAATAGTAAAAGAAAATCCTGCGGAACCGCTGCAGATTTTGCTTGTCCTGCGAAAGTTCCGGTGTATTGTCTGAGAATGAATCTCTACTGCTGTGAAGCTAATCTTATGACCGCCAAGCTACCATAAAATGCTGCTTATTTTCCTATTAATCCTAGATTTCGTGCCTCCCGTTCGGCCCACTCTTGCAAGCTGCGTTCATCCTCTATCGGAGAGTCTTCTTCGCCACACACAGCATCGATATAGAAAGATCCTGAAAGTCAAAATTCTCAGTGGAACTCACACAGAACAATTCAGAGCACTCACTTTGTGCGGTGAGACTCTCAAATTCGTCATCAGACAAGTCATCATCGGACTGTGTGCCTAAACAATTCTCAGTTTGCAGATACAATTGTACGCATTGAAAAGTTATAAATCAAAAATATCTGGAGACGTGCTTACCTAATTTGAACGAGCTCGCCTGCCTGTCAGGCATTGAAAGGATAGACGTATAATCGCTGAAATCCACAACCACACGGCTACCACGAACTGACAGCTGCGAAGAGTCGGCGGCAGTTCCACCAACAACGATAGTGACAGGAGCTTTCTAAAATCACGGACTATATAAGTAAAACAAGAGTTTACGGTGAAACTGAGCAAGCATTGTAAATTATAAGCAGCGTAACTATAAGCATAAAACCAAATTTGATTTGAGGCAGGGTCCACCCAAAAGTTCACCTTCCATGCTTTATTCTGGGGCCTTTCTAGCCCTAATTGCAGTTATGAACCTCAAAATTTGCAAAGCCA